TTTCCTTCTACGTGACTTTACCGAAAGAACCAATAAGATGAATCCCTGCAGTCACGAAAGCTTTAAATCGAAATTTAAACGTGTTTGTTTAGTCATACGTTTTGGTCATTTAAGGGGTTGTCTTGTCTTGCTCAAAAGCGACGATAAAGTAACTGTTCAAATGTCAATTTAGAAATTGGTCATCGACAAAATATTTATACATTCTGATTCTTATCTGACCCCATCGAGTATATTGTAGTCTCCAGCTATTAATTTTATTTTATATCGGTACTATTCTACATAAAACCGACTATATATACATGAATGGGGAAAACCGACTCGTATCAATAAACTATGCAATGTCCATGCCAACTAAACACAAAGGCAAATGCTAACGAATTCAAGAACGCACATTGGGGGGCACTCGGCTCAGTATGCGTGTGTAATAAAATGTTTACAGGTTGGACAAAGTTATCGTTATAGCCTACGACAATGCGTCTATTTCGAGCCGTTGTTGTTAAGTCCAAGTTAAAATAACAGTTGTAAACAGCCTATGTGTACTATATGTGTGTTAATTGGAAGGAGGGGAGAGAGAGGAGAGCAGGGGGGAGGGTGGAATTCGTCCCATAGCGTCACTCGCTCGCTCGCACGCACTCGGCGGGAGGACGTGTGCCGCGTGCGGATGACCCAAACGTAGTAATGGTGCATCCACACACACACGAGCGAACGAGCGAGCGAGCGCCGTTTCGAAACGTCGAATTCGCAATTGCGCTCGCCGTTTAACTGCCACCGCAGCTGACAATTGCTCGCCTTGAGCGTCCGATTGCACACACGCGCGCTTCCCACTAAGGCAGAGGGCGCAAACAACTTTAACGTCGGGCAACATGGGGCAAAACCATGAGCGTCGATCGATACCCATCGACGGTTGCGGCCAAGGTAGCTTCTGAATTCTTTTTTTTTAAATAGACAATTCGCAATAGTTTTTTTTTTTTTCCGGTAAAGTCACGTAGGTAAAATTTTTTAAAATAAATTAAAACTCGCAATAGCTCAGCGGGGCCCTACTAATGCTGAAATAAAACAAAGTTTCGTTCAGTCAGTCCTCCGATTGCTTGGAGCCAATGTGCGCGCCGTTCGCCACCAACAGGAAGCCAATTTGACGCCGACAGCCGATGACTTTAATGGTCTTAATGAGCGAAGCGGCGCATACATTTCCGAAGAGGAAGAACTGTAGAAATCAATTGCCCTTTTAAATGCGGCTGTATAACAAGGTAGTAGTCGCAAGGGTGTTTTTTCGCGGTATTTTACAAGGCAGTTAACAATCATGTATGAGGTGTGTGTGTGTGTGTAAAACATTAAACACAATACCTCGTGCTGTGCCGAGTGCGCTGTAGCCCGGCAATAGAGATAGCAGATCTCTGTGGTTGTGTAAAAAGCGGGGAGTTTTAAAGGGCTAGGTAGACATGCGCACAACCTTCAGCTGTCCATCCGCATCCGTTCTCACGTCGCTCGAGTGCGAGTTGGGCTCCACGCTAAAAAAAAAAACAGGGAGAGGCAAATAATTGGACCAATCTGAACGACCCTCGATCTCTCTCCCACACCACCCCTCCACACCTTCCTCAGCACCACCCTCCACACGCACTGGCAGAATTTCCCCCCCCCCCTCCCCACCCCCTCTCTCCTCCTTGGATGCAAATTTAGTTTTATTGTTTGACGAATGCGTGACTTCATCAATATTCAAATCGCTTTGTTTCCGTGACCTATAAAGGGGAGCACCGATTTTGGGAGTAAGGTCATTTTATTGACAGCTATTGACCGACCCAGTTTCAGTTGTAGAATATAAAACACTGCCGGTGAACACCAACAGCGACAAGTCAAGACGAGCACTACTACCACCAACAGCTACAAGAGTCAAGGCGAACACTACTACCACCAACAGCTACAAGAGTCAAGACGAACACTACTACCAACCAGGTACGTCGCACAATTCACAGGGAAGGATCCCCGTCGAATCGCAGAGCCGAGAGAATAACAGTTGCGCATTGTTGCGTTCAGGTACTGAGCCATATTTATGTTCACTCAAACTGTTAGAATTCGTAGGTGTTTTTTTTCTTCTTCTTCAATTTCTCAATTTAGGACACTCGTGTTTTAACAGGGAAACGTCGGAAGTCTGGGGTGGCACCAGTGTTACTTAACAACTCTTAGGTTTTTTGTCGATAAAGTCACATACATCAATCCTTGCAGTCACGAAAGCTTCAAATCTAGAACGTGAAGTCAATCCGACTGACGACTATTTTTTTTTTTCTCCGAATGAGAAAACTCGATTTTTTTTTCCACAAAGAATATATACTTCAACCCTGTGATAATTTACAATGTATATTTCCTCATTTAATGCTATTTTAGGAGCTTTAACTGTTATCGGAAAAAATGTGATTGTGGCTTTGGCACGTGATACTGAATAACGATATGAAGACAATCCGCACACAATGTATTGTGTGCCTCCACTCACGTGAGGTGGGTGGCTGGGTTCATTGAAACATACAACGCATTATTTTTTATTAATTTTTATTTCATTTTTTACCTACGTAACATTACCGAAAGAACTAAGAGTACAAACGCAGCTTCCCGGCAAAAGCGATTGGTCTCAATAGTAAGTTGTCTTTTGTCGTGTGTATCGACAACAAAAAGGGACATTCAGTTTTGGATTAAACAGATCTCATCGACATTTGACTCTAACTTTGCAGCACGTTGGCTACAACTTGAATTACAATTGCAACGAATGACACTAGAAGCGCATTCCCTACTCATTTCTGTTGTGTCAATATTTGACGATACCCGTTTTTTTTGTCGTAATACGCTCACCTAATGCCACCTGCAGGCAATATGAAGCGAGCTCTTTTTATTTTGCCGACCGCGCCTCACAATAGTAATCATAATAAGAATAGCAACTCGCGATGCTGTGCGTACGTACGCACATGGTTTCAGACACCTGGCAATGATTGTGAACCTGCGTGGTCACACGGTCTCTTGACACACGCGTTGCACGATGAATGCAAAGTGGCACAGTTAAATTGCGTAAAGAAAAAAAACATACTTAACACAGACCACCGGTTTCCTCGCTTAAAGATACGATTTGCTGCATCGCCTTTAATTTGATATGTGATGTAAGGCATGACTAATACACTGTATACCGAATGGACTTCTTTCAAGTTGTCCACTCTCCTTATTACAGTACTTATATTTTAAACATATATAATCAGACATTAGCTTGCGTTGCTTTTCGTGTGGATGGAGATTAAAAAAGTTCAGCTTATAGTTAGTGCAGTAGTGCATTCTCTTGCAACTTGTATGTTTAAAAAACACATTTACATTGTCACGAGCACACCGATATGCGTTTTGACCATCGTTCTATACTAAAACATATGCGTGAAACAAATCTTGTCTTAACATCGCAACAAAAGTACGACAAAAGATTTGTGTGCCCTTCAAGCTTAGGCTATCTTTGCTGATTGCTCTTATTGATGCAGGTTAATTGCCCACGCATCGCTTTTGCAAAAAATGTAATCGGGCGAATACAAATTTTGGGTTTAAACAAATTTTTATTTGAAACTGTGTAGAATAATAAAACGACATTTGCTAACCATTTCACCTGGGGATGATTGGACAATAGCTAACACGCATACAAAACTGCACAACAACACGAATTTGACAATTCAACACAGTACTTAGTTTGAGAAAGGTTATGACCAATGCTTAAAGTTCTATTACGAAGTAAACTTAGGTACAAAACCTCGACCCTGTTATCGATTGTATTTTTTCCCGAAACATTAAAAGTAGCTTAGGAATGAGATGTATTACGTAGGTAAGCACGGCTATGTAAAAGATAATGAAGCCAACTTGATTCGTGCATAACCTTGAACTGTGATATGTAGACGACAAGTGGATCGAATACTTTGGTAATGAGTGCGCTTATTACTAACTACCCACATTAATTAGCAAATGTGTGTGTGCAATGTAAGGTTGCTGTTTCATCATTGAATGTGCTATTAATATTCCCACTCTGTAATTCAACATTTATATTGTTCGTATTTCATGTACGAAACATTGACCTCCCGCCGGATATCTTCGCATACAAAACTAAAAACAAGCCCCAAGTTTCCAGTCGCATCACATAAAACTGCATTTCACCAACCATACAATGTAGCAATCTGAAAGATGTATGCATGTACTGCGTTCTGAAAAAAATAGATTTCTAGCTCAGTGGGCCGACCCTGGTAAAATAAACTAGAAAGATATTGAACTTTTTTTGCACCCCAAGTAGCCAAGCGTGCTAATCGGAGGTGCGAGACTTTAAAAAAAAGTAGCCAACTCCCCCTTCCAGACTTTTCCAGCTTTCACGCTCCACTGCTTTCTCAATAGCAGAGCCCCCAATGCAAACATATAACTCCAAACGCGTCTCGCGGCTCTACAATCGGCCAAGTTCATTGCAACCGCAGGAGGGATTAAAACAATAACACTCCGAATGAAATCCTCAGGCAGCAATAAACGAACGTAGACTTCATCCAGTGCAAGTACACCGCCGTATATGCATGTAATTAGAAGAGAGAGAGTTACAGCTATTGTTTAGGACTGCTGTTTTTGGCATTTGGATCGGGTGTGCTTAAACACACAGAGTCGGTTAAAGCAACCTAAGAAATTCTGTTTGCGAGCCTCCCCTTTAAATGTATAAACTCTTTGTGGACAACGATGCATGCCAGAAAGACATAGATGAGAGATATTAATTAGCTGTGTTATGTGAATTCGATTCTTACGATTACGTTCATTCAGATCTTAAGTAGAGCTGATATTTGGCGCATCTGACTTTCCTCAGGAATTCGAGTTTTCCCCCCTTGAGCTGTTTGGCGCGGTAAAGATTGTCCGATTAATTCCCAATACCATCAGCCACCACCCAAGGCATAGGCGTAATTACAGCTTTGGGTTTCATTGCGCAGGTCGCCCTCAAATCAGCCGCTAACAAATCGAAGATGACAATCGGAGATGGCTTCCCTCCGTTCTACGGCGAGCGTCGTACAGCCGCCAGTGTCGACCTGGAGCAGCTGATCGTCATCGTCGTCTTCTGCGTCCTCGCGGTCGCCTTCTTGCTCATCCTGCCGGGCATCCGTGGCCGAGCGGTAAATCATCACGCACTTTCGCCGCACAACATTGTTCAACATAATTTTATTATGTTGTATTTTTATTATTTTATTACTTCCCTTCTACGTGACTTTACCGAAAGAACCAAGAAGATGAATCCCCGCAGTCACGAAAGCTTTAAATCAAAATTTAACATTGTTCAACTCTCACCTACGCTTCGTTTAAAATTGTGACTGAAAACTTTCGTGACTGCAGGAATTCATATTCTTGGTTCTTTCGGTAAAGTCACGTAAAAAAAAAAAGTAGAATTTTTTTTATTACATTTTTTTTTCTTTTCTATCTACGCGACTTTAACGAAATAACCAAGAATATGAATTCCTGCAGTCACAAAATAAATTTAAATAAATAATAAAAATTAAATAAATATACATTTATCTACATGACATTACCGAAAGAACCAAGAATATACACTTCTTTGTTTAAAGGCCGAGCGGTAAATCATCACGCATTGTCCCTGCACACATTGTTAAACTCTCACCTACACTTATTTTGTTGTTATAAACCGAAGGGGTCACATTTATTTATACAGAGTCTACTGGCCAGATTTTTTTATTATATCTGCATGCACTTCAATTCTGTGCCTCTTCTCAAAAGTCACACCACCACTATCCGTAACACAGATATCCTCCATGCACGTATAATTAAGACCCATCGACTAACATAGAGAGTATAGATGGTTTCATAATTCGTATAGGAATGGCAATGGGTTAGTGCAGTCAATGATCAGAAGCTTAAGTTATTTTGCACACTGCGATTAAATAAGTTACCTTTTGTAATAGAATGTTTATTTTAACGTATTATAACATTCCGATGTCCTTTGATGTATCTGTGATTGCAGCGAATCTACTGGTTCATTCGAGTGCTCCTCAGCCTGCTGATCGGATGCATGATAGTCGGTAAGAAATCCGAAACGTTTCTTTACGCATTGCATAAATTCCACAAACTTTAATTACCTGTGAAGATGGGACGCGATTAATGATAAGCTTACCTACACAGATAATCTTTGGGAAAGCTATATTTACAACATACGAATTGCAAAAAACACAAAGTGTTCACAACATTGGTGCCACAATACAGTGCTGCTTGTGCAACATCGAGCGTGAGCCTGCACGCAGTTAATCCGAAGTGGCTAACGCGGTTCGCACTGTGGAGATAAACGTTCGAACGATGTCACTCTGCTCTCTCCCGCCGTCACCCGCTCAGTGGTGAACTTCCAGACGCACTGGGAGGTGGGCCACGTGGAGACGCAGACGGAGTACCGCGTGGCGGATGGCAGCACCATCAAGGCGCGCATCGGCCTCGGCGTTTCTCTCCACGGCTTCAACATCACCCTGAAAGGTACCGGATAACGCCCAGCCTACGAAACACACAGCACCACCCATCCACCCACCCACCCACCGTGTGCTTGCAGGTTGTGCCCGCGTGTTGTTCGGCACGATCTTGGACGTGTCGCTGCATGTTATAATGCACAGCCTGAGAAACCCATCATAGAGCTATGCGAGCACAATGGCGAAAGCCTACATAGTACCATGAAGCATGCTGCACCTAAGACCTACTACGTAAGAAGAATAGCGCGATTGTTATTAACGGGAATCATAATGAATGTCCTGGAAATGATTCAAGCAATACGTTGACTACTTCTTGACCAATGTAAATACTACAGATTGTCTAGAAGGGATAAAAAGCTGGAATTTGGCATAAATATAGCCGAGTCAAAATAAATAACGTAAAAATTGGGCACCCAAAATTGCATCCCAGAGAATAAATTGGTTTCACTCGTAGGGCAGGGTGAGCCAGACATTTAAATTCCTATGTTGAACACTTACAAATAGACACTCCCCTGATCATCAGTGATGCAAGTAACTCACCCCCTGTGGATGTGTGTCAATAAAGCCAATGGAGAAATTACTTGAATTCACGCGTACACCCGCAATGCATATCATTTCTAATTTCTAATTATTTAAAATGTATAAAAAGTATTCAGCAACAAAATAAAGCGTCTCTGTCCAAAGTGGCAGCGCTAATCTCCATCTGATGCCAAGCAATGCTGCAGATTCCACATTCATTTTTCAAGGACCATTGTCTAAATACGACCAATATTTACTGCCCAAAGTGATATTCATTTCATAAAGACACTATGCAGGGTGATGTATAGAACGCATGCTATTTGGTGATGCTGCATTGGTAGTGGCGCACAAGCAGACATCACAAAACACGTGAAGACATTCGTCAATAACACTGCCTTGAAAGGAAATCTGTATAATAGGTCCCGTTTGGCCTTTCTTCATAGCACATTCATCATCAGGTGCTATGAAGAAGGGCTGTCGCCATTAATAAGGGCCATTTCCCAAAACGTCAGCTATTATATATTTGTTTTCCTTTAAAGTCAGTGTTATTGACATGCCATGGGGGAGATATTGCAATCCAACCTCAATCGCACTAAACGATTGATTGACAACGCATGTAGGGATACCAGCGTGATTCACGTCTCTTAATCCATACGGTAGGTAGATCATCTGCTTTAAATGTAATATTTATCTATCATGCAAAAGGAGCCTCAATCAATCCATCCCACAATGCGGTCAAGCCCAAAAATGACACGCGTGGTCATATCACCCCACCACACCTCCTTATGAATCGCGTTCTGACACCGTCACTTTCACCACAGGAACTCCGCAGATTCAGCTGAACGAGATGATCGACTACAACGAGCGCTTCACTTGGCAATCCGGCAACATCGACGGCGACTACCAGCATGCTCTTCAGAGGGGCCTTCCCGTGCCCATCCTGCAGCTCGCCGAGACGTTCGGCAGCAACAGCGCCTGCGCCAAAGTGTCCCAGTACGCGCAGGCGGGGCGATACGCCTCCGCGCTCATTTGGTGAGGCCACAGCAGCATTTTTGTTACTTGCCCAACATGCACGAGCGGATGTCGTACGGTTAAGTTCCATACCGCGTGTGGTTTTAACTCCCAAGTACAAAAAAATTGGGGGTCTCTCTCCGGAGGGTGTGTTTTTGGGTCGTACCGCGAGCTGTTCGGCACGGAGCCCGACGTTTCGCCGCACGTTGCTGTGAGCATCATTCGTGCCGAACAACACGCGCAACAAACTCGAAAAACGCCTCGGAGAGCTATACGGCGCACAACTTCTGCGGAAGTAAAAAAGTTTTGCCAAAGTTTTTTGCCAAAAAAGCTCATCGACAGCACATAAGCCACCCCAATTGGTTTTTACGGTGCACCTTTAGTGAGAAATTCGCTTCCTCAAAAGCCATCAATTCTATTGACTCCCTGTCTCGGCTCAATGCCTTATTTTGCCTCTATGACCGATTGCACTTTTCTACGAAATAAAAATGGCCAGTTTCTGCACAGCATCGATAGATTGTGGCCGCATTTACATGCTACGCAAACCTAAATTGCATTCTATTGCTCGTTTACCATTGCGAGAGTATAACAGCATCTGCAAGTATTATCACGTGTGTACCAACCTCCACCATTTAATTTGCCGTTTTGTTGAATACATTCCGCGGGGGTGGATACATCGAGGAAACGCGTCGGCCAGTTTTTTTATTAAGGAACATCCGATGATGTTAAATGCTTCCCACGACTTTTCGCTCTTCTCACGTGCAATTCGCGAACGACCAAATCGAGCACCGTCGTGAAACCACCTTCCGCGCTGCGTCCACCCCAACCCTGCAGGGTCGCGTTTGTCTGCTGGGTCCTCTCCAACTTGCTGTTCGTCATCGTGCTCCGCTACGGCGGCGCGGCGCTGCTCATGACCGGCTTCTTCCTGGTGACGGCGCTCATCTCCTTCGGCTGCACGCGGCTCGCGCCGGTCTGCCAAACCCGACTGGGGCTCGAGAGCGTCTCACTGCAAACCACTTTTGGATACAGCTTCTGGCTCACGCTCGCCAACGGTGAGCGGAGGACGGCGTTGGACACAATGGTGTAGAAAAAAAATATAAAAAGAAACGATTAAATTTCGATTTAAAGCTTTCGTGACTGCAGGAATTCTTCTGCTTGGTTCTTTCGGTAAAGTCACGTAGAAGGGAAGTAATAAAGTAATAAAAATAAAACATAATAAAATAATATAATAATAAAAAATATATAGAATAATATATATTTTTATTTTATTATTTACATTCTACGTGACTTTACCGAAAGAACCAAGAAAAAGAAACGATTGTTAAACGCCGCACGGAATGAATGGCTGCAATGGCACGCTCATCAATACTGCACTTGTGCACCCGTTTGTATCAAAATCCCACCGATTTATTTACAGTGGGTGATTGTTAAAACCACTTGACCTAACGACAATTTACAATTTGATTATTAAAGCATTGCTAATAAATCGTTTGCAGCTATTGGTGTGTTAGAGTAGCAGTTTTTATTTTACTTTTATTAATTATAATTTTTTTTTTACCTACGTGACTTTACCGAAAAAACCTAAGAGTATGTTAGAGTAGCCTTGGATTTAAAATATTGATGCATTTTTGGTTATTTAAAGAACTAAAACCTGGTTTGGCAATTGATTTTTAACTAAGGTTGATTCTACTTATTTGAATAGCTACAGCGAAACATGTACATATGTCATCGGAAATAACACATCCCATTGAAGTTAAAATAGAGGGAAAAGTTTAGCGATACCTGGTTAATAATAAAAGACGACCATAGATTACTGCCTGACCTTGTAGCCAACAGTATAAATACGCCTCGTATTATCCAATGTCAGGGATGCTGCGATGGCGTAATAGTCGTAATCTCCCCGACAGCAGTTGAAACAATGGTGCAAGTTTATTCAATCCACTCACCTCTGTCCACCAAAATCCGTTGATTGGTAGTTCGCGTGTGGTGGGGTAAAGTGTGGGTACTCCCTGCCGCTTCCAAGACGTCTCAACAGTGTGACAGAGTTGGGGATGTTCACTACCTCGCCTGGTGTACACGAACTCGTGGGTTCGATCCCGACTCTGACGCCTGTACATTTGGAGTTTTTTTTTATGTTCTCCCTGTGGTCGCATTTATTTTTCTCCAGGTCCCCGGTTTTTTTCCTCCACATTTAAAACATGTTTTAGAGTGTTTGGCTGCTCTAAATGTCCACATGATAAGCCAGTTTTTTGGGGCTTTAATTTGTGGCCAGGTTGCTTCTGAAAAAAGAGCTATATATAGCTCAGTAGGCCTTACTTGCTAAAATAATAAAGTTTCTAATAGTTGAATAAAACTTGCCCTCGAGAGCTCCCTCTATTGGGGGCTCTTTATGGCAGGAGTGACTCGTGCAAGAACTTAAAAATGTATTTTACCAAGTAAAGCCCACTAAAAGCTATTTATACGTACATAATAGCTCAACGAAATTGACGATGTTGAGCTATATATAGCAGCGGCGTGTTTTAAATGTGGAGGGAAAACCGGAGGAACCAGATACAAATCCACACGACCCAAGAGGGAGGAATTCTAGATTTGAAGCAAGAGGGAGGACACGCAAACTCCAAATATACAGGCATCTTTAGGGTGGGGATCGAACCCACGGCGAGGTAGTGAACGTCTCGCCACCGTGGCACACACACGGCCGTGCCTTGACCTGCCATTACATGGTGTCACCGCCGTTGTTGAACCGTGTTATTAATTCTTACTAATTCCCCCTCCCCACCAACCCACTGCATTCTCAGCCGTGCTCTGCTTGCTGCTGGAAGCCTCGTGATTGGTGCTCATCTCATGGCTCCGCACAAGCTGGAAGAGTTTTTCTCCAACGAGGAGGACGAGATGGAGGACCTTGGTAATGCGTGCGCACGTCGTGAGCTATGCAGACACTTGCTTGCATTAAAAACAAAACACGTGACATCCCCAGAACAGCGCAGACATCAATTCATGCACACATCATGGTACGACCCCTGCTGTCATTCCACTGCTGGATGAGGGCCTCCCCACACCACGCATGTCGTGGGGAAGGGGGGCGGGTTAGTGAAGGCAGGGAGCATAGAAGTACTGAACAACATATTTCTGCACTATCCATCTGCATCCTACCACTTAGTCTCTTGGCCCATAACAACATGGTGCTCATCACTCCAAGCACTGGTCCAGGCTCAAGCCTGCTTAGCGCTGTGTGATCTCAAGCCCGCTTAGCGCTGTGTGATCTCAAGCCCGCTTAGCGCTGTGTGATCTCAAGCCCGCTTAGCGCTGTGTGATCTCAAGCCCGCTTAGCGCTGTGTGATCTCAAGCCCGCTTAGCGCTGTGTGATTTCAAGCCCGCTTAGCGCTGTGTGATCTCAAGCCCGCTTAGCGCTGTGTGATCTCAAGCCCGCTTAGCGCTGTGTGATCTCAAGCCCGCTTAGCGCTGTGTGATCTCAAGCCCGCTTAGCGCTGTGTGATCTCAAGCCCGCTTAGCGCTGTGTGATCTCAAGGCCGCTTAGCGCTGTGTGATCTCAAGCCTGCTTAGCGCTGTGTGATCTCAAGCCCGCTTAGCGCTGTGTGATCTCAAGCCCGCTTAGCGCTGTGTGATCTCAAGCCTGCTTAGCGCTGTGTGATCTCAAGGCCGCTTAGCGCTGTGTGATCTCAAGCCTGCTTAGCGCTGTGTGATCTCAAGCCCGCTTAGCGCTGTGTGATCTCAAGCCCGCTTAGCGCTGTGTGATCTCAAGCCCGCTTAGCGCTGTGTGATCTCAAGCCTGCTTAGCGCTGTGTGATCTGGCAAAATATACCGCGCTCTTGGTGATTTGGTCATAGGCATCGATTCATTCATCCACACCTCCGATTATCACGTTTGGCTACATAACGGTGCGGAAGACGTTCAACATACGGACATACATTACAGACCACGATGTACAACAGTTTATATTGTTGCAGCTCTTTGCATTTTAATGGTTATGCAATCATTCAAAACATATTCTTAATAATCAAAATCAAGAAAACTAACGTTTTGATAAACCTAGTATTGCATTTCTATGCAACACGGAAATCATGTATGAAGTCTCAATAGTTATGTATGCACACATCAATTACATTACATGTTGCGTATACTTGAATTAACGTTTCATTTTTTTTTCACAGATGAAAGAAGCATAATCTTGTGGAATATGCCTACTTGAATGAGGCGTTTACGACGAATGCTCTAGACCATCAAAGGCAGACATTGCAGTGGCCGTCACGGTAAGGCATCTGGCCATGGCATTCACTTGATTCTTACTGCTTTAAATCCACAATGTTGGTAACGATATCACAGCCAACCCCACAGCAATTTGATTAGCTCACGGTAGTGATATAAACCTTTGCTCGTTTTTACAATTTTTTTCTCCAGATTTTTTGTAAAAAAGAATTTATTTAATCGAATTTGTACGTGCAGTTTCGCTTGCTCCATCAGCCTGCAATGCATTAAATCACCACGGCACCTGCACACGAGGCGATTTCATTGCTCCATCTCTGTAGTGAACGTCCCCCTGGGAAGTTTTCCATCCCTTGGTTTCCGCTCTATCATTATTCTTGATCATTGATCAAATTTAAAGAGATGTCCATGCATTGCAAACAATCAATTATGCCACACGATGCAATGCCTAATTCATGCTCGTAATAGTTTATCTGAACTGGTGATTCGACGCATATCGTTAGATATTTAGAGATAAGGCGCATTGATTCACATGTTGAGATAAAGTGATATGGTTGTTTACATTATGTAGAGTAAATGTCCTATGCTCCTCTATTTCAGATTCCAGAGGCAATTAACACCCAGCTCTAACCATCCACATCTGCCTGCAACAGGAAAACACTTTGTCTACAAACAGGTAAATGTTATTGCATGGCTTTGAGGTTATTCGCGTATATCATGATAGCCACGGGTCATTTAATTACGCATGATAAACATATAATTCGTAAGTTCACAATACGCACATCGAATGGTGCACGTGATATTAACGATTTTCCTTACACCTTGTGTTTTCATAACTTATCTTATGCAGCATATCGTGCTTGAAGTGCTTTAAGTAAATGTAAACGACTTGTTGTATATGATTTGCCAGTGTGATCATGTTTTTTTGGTGTTTTTTTTTGTATCCCTTTCCAACACAGTTCAGACAGCGCAAGCAACTTTGAAGATCTCTCACAGACCCGAATGTAAAATGTTACAGAAGAGGAAGATTTGTGATGTGCAACACATTCCACTGTTTGAACGCTTTGTACTGAAACAAACACACTGTCAGTGCAACACACTCCATTTCGCCATGTACTTTATAACGTATGAGATTTACAATATTTATAGTTATGTAATTATTCCATCAAATTGCACATGATGTATTTTTTTTACAAATACGTGCAGTTCTAACCTGTCGATTTAATTTACAAATTGTACCAAATGTATTAATGGATAGAAGTAAAGTATTTATAGAATTCTTTTTATACGTTAAGTTTTAACCGCTACGTGAACTGCTTCTCATGGAAATAAATTAATTTTCTATGAAAATTAACATATGTATATTTAACAATGTGACCAGTAACTTTGATTGTTGTTGCTTCATGTAGAAAACAATAAAAAAAAACCTTCAGTATTTGATTCTATTTTTCGATTTAAAGCTTTCGTGACTGCAGGGATTCATCTTCTTGGTTCTTTCAGTAAAGTCATGTAGAAGGGAAATAATAAAATAATAAAAATAAAACATAATAAAATACAAAATAATAAAATAAAACATAATAAATACAATATATTTTATTATGTTTTATTTTTATTATTTTATATAATAATAAAAATATTTAATATAATAAAAATAAAATAAAACATAATAAAATACAAGATATTTTATTGTTTATTTTTATTATTTTATTATTCCCTTCTACGTGACTTTACCGAAAGAACCAAGAAGATATTTGATTCTATGTTGTGCACCATCAGAGTCGTCCTCTGAATGAACATACTTTCAGGGTACGTGTTTATCCAGCATCCAATAACTACTAACTACTGCTTAGGGTGTTTGGCATG